GATGCAAAAAACGCAAATTGAAAAAAGTAAACAAAAACCAAAAAAAAGGACCCGGCAAAGAGGCCACCTTAAAACCAAAAAAAAAAAAAAAAAAAAAGCGAAGAAAAAAAAAAAAGCAACGAAGAAAAAAAAGCAACGAAGAAAAAAAAAGCAACGAAAAAAAAAATCAAAAAATGTTAATTTTAATTTTAATAAAAAAAAAACAAACTAAAAAATTAAAGGCACATACCTGATCCCGAAGTTGGCAAAAGTTAAAAAAAGATGAACTATCGAGTGAAAGCTAAAAAAAGACGAATCATTAAGCAAAAGTTAAAAAAAGACGAAATATTAAGCGAAAGTAAACAACAAATACTGAAAAAAAAACAAAAATAAACAGGATTAGCAGAATAATTTCTGTTTATATATGATCACCGATCTTAAAATTGATTGGCTAATTATATAGAGTTGCTATAGCAACAGGTTGCTATTGTATTTTTGCCTTATTTTATTTTATTTTATTTTTATTTTATTTATTTTATTATTTTTTTATTTTATTTTTATTTTTATTTTTTCATTTTTATTATTTATTATTTTATCTGTTTTTATAATAACTTACCAACGTTTCTTTTACTGTAAATGTTTGCTATGCGAGAGCTAACAAATTTTCAAAGACTTCAAATCTATATTCATTACAAATAATGCATAGTCCTCCCAAGTCCTCATGATATTGAATATGATTACAATCAGCTAATTTACTTATAAAAAAAGTGCGATGCATTCTATTTGGATATTCCTCATAAATTTTATCTACAAAGCTTGTTTTTGATCTTGTATATACAAAACAAGAATCCTGGTTTTGGTATCAGTTAGATATGAGCTTTGTGTAATATTATTTTTATCTTGAAAAAATGCTAAAAATTGGTTTTCTTTAATTTTAGATATTCTTTGAACACTTTTTTTTGGTTCATCAATTGATGAAGCACCAGGTCTGTATAATCGAAGATGTTTGCATATTAGATCTACTGTATTTGAACTTATCTAATTATATAAATATAAGTTATTTATTAGTAATTGTAATTACAAATTTAAGAACAAACCTGAAGTTTTTCATGAAGTTGCAAATATATAAA